TTGTTGGCTATGGTCATGATGAATGTGGCTATAGACTTTATGATCCTGTTGAGAAGAAGCTTGTCAGAAGCCGTGATGTTATCTTTATGGAGGATCAGAATATTGAAGATATTCAGAAGATGGAGAAGTCAGAGTCTCAAAGTTATGATGATCTTGTTGATTTGAATCCAACTCCCGTGGCTCATACGCCTAATGCTACCAATGGAGATCAGAATGATGATAACAGTCATGTTCCACATGATTTTACCGATGGTAATGGTGAAGAAGAATCAAATGAGGCACATAATCAACCTCATGTTGATAACAATGCACCTACAGTTGCTCTCAGGAGGTCTACAAGGGAAAGAATTCCCTCTACTCGTTATTCTACTAATGAGTATGTGCTCCTTACTGACGGGGGAGAACCTGAATGTTATGAAGAGGCTATGGAGAACGAGGATAAGGAGAAATGGGTTGAGGCAATGAATGATGAAATGAAATCATTGCATGATAATCATACTTTTGAGCTAGTCAAGTTGCCTAAAGACAGAAAAGCTTTGAAGAATCGGTGGATTTATAAGTTGAAGAATGAACAGGGTGCTTCGTCTCCACGATACAAGGCTAGACTAGTGGTTAAAGGCTACAGTCAGAAAAAGGGTATTGACTATGAGGAAATATTTTCTCCAGTTGTGAGGATGTCTTCGATTCGAGTTGTTTTGGGCCTTGCAGCCAGCCTTGACTTGGAAGTTGAACAGATGGATGTCAAAACAGCATTCCTTCATGGTGATTTGGGGAAGGAAATTTATATGGAGCAACCGGAAGGCTTTGTGGTGAAGGGCAAGGAGAACTATGTTTGCAAGTTGAAGAAGAGCTTGTATGGCTTGAAACACGCTCCAAGGCAATGGTACAAGAAGTTCGAGTCTGTGATGATCCAGCAAGGATATAAGAAGACTACTTCTGATTATTGTGCTTTTGTGCAGAAGTTCTCTGATAATGACTTCATTATTTTGTTGCTTTATGTTGATGATATGCTTATTGTTGGTCATAACTCTTCGAGAATTGCAGAATTGAAAACAGAGCTTAGTAAGTCCTTTGCGATGAAGGACTTGGGGCCAGCAAAACAGATTCTTGGCATGCAGATTACACGTGACAGAGAGGCAAGAAAGCTATGGTTGTCTCAGGAGAAGTACATTGAAAAGGTGCTTCAACGATTTCATATGGAAAAAGCTAAAGTGGTTAGCACACCTCTTGCTACACACTTTAAGCTTAGCTCTAGACAGTCCCCATCTAATGATGCTGAGAAGGCAGAGATGCGACGTATTCCTTATGCATCTGCAGTAGGAAGTTTGATGTATGCAATGGTTTGCACAAGGCC